GGGACAACACAGCAGGGCATGAGCAATCCAAGAGATTCTTGGAATACATGGATAACTTACTTCTCCAAGTGACCAAGGAGTAAACGAGGAGAGTTACTATGCTGGACCTTGTTCTTTCCAACAAGGCAGGCTGGTGGGAAATGTGAATCTCAAGGGCAGCCTTGGCTGCAGTGACCATGAAATGGTGGACTTCAAGATTCTCAGGTCAGTGAAGAGGCACACAGCAAGATCACTAACGTGGACATCAGGAAGGCACACCCTGGCCTCTTCAGGGATCTTCTGGGTAGAGTACCATGGGATAAAGCCCTGAAAGAAGAGTAACCCAAGAAAGCTGGTTAATATTCAAGGATCATCTCTTGTAAGGTCGGGACCAATGCAACAAAGAGGAAGTCAGGCAAAAATTTCAGGAGACCTGCATGGATGAACAAGGCGCTCCCGGACAAACACAAAAAGGAAGCCTATGCTTTCCCCACAGAAAAACGGTGAAAGCAAGGACAGACAGCCTGAGAGGAATACAGAGAAATTGTCCCAGCAGCCAGGGATCAGGTTAGGAAGCTAAAGCCCTGACAGAATTCTATCTGGCCAAAGACATTAAGGGCAACAAAAAAAAAAAAATAAAAAGGCTTCTTCATCGGTGAAAATGTGAGCCCTCTCCAGAAAGAACTGAGAGACCTGGTTACCTGGCACATGGATAAGGCTGAGGTACTCAATGACATTGAGTACATTTTTGCCTCGGTCTTCACCAGCCAGTTCTTCAGCCACTGAGGCCCAAGTTTGCATGAGCCCCTTTGCTGAGGTGGCAAAGGCAGGGACTGTGAGAATAAAGAACCACCCACCACAGGGGAAGATCACGTTCTAAGCCAGCTAAGGAACCTGAGGGTCTACCAGTCCATGGAATCTGACTACAAAATATGGAAAATAAGGTGATTGGTGGCAGCCCACATGGCATCACTAAGGGCAAACCCTACACAGGATTACAGTGTTGTTGGGTAAGAGAAGAGTGATTGATACCATCTACCTGGACTTGGGCAGAGTATTTGACATTGTCTTACATGACATCCTTGTCTTGAAACTGGAGAGGCATGGATTTGAAGGATGGACCATGTGGTGGATAAGGAATTGGCTGGATGGTCGCACTCAGAGTTGCTGTCAACAGTTCAATGTCCATGTGGAGACCAGTGATGAGCTCCTCAGGGGTCAGTATCGGGACTGGTACTGTCTGACACCTTCGTCAGTGACATCGACAGCAGGATCGAGGGCACCCTCAGCAAATTTTTCAATGACACCAAGCTGTGTGTGCAGCTGACACAATGGAGAGAAGGGATGACATCCACAGGGACCTTGAAAGGCTTGAGTGGTGGGCCCACACAAACCTCATCAAGTTCAACAAGGCAAGACAAGGTCCTGCACCTGCAATCCCAAGCATGAAGACAGGATGGCTGGAGAATGGACTGAGAGGAGCCCTGGGGAAAAGGACTTGGGGGTGTTGATTGATGAGATCCTCAATATGACCAGGGAATATATTTTTACAGCCCAACATGCCAACTGTATCCCAGGCTACATCAAAAGCCGTGTGGGCAGCAGGTCAAGGAGGGCTTTTCTTCTCCTCTAATCTTGTGAGACCCAACCTGGAGTGCTGCATCAGCTCTGGCATCCCCAGCACAAGGACTTCATGGACCTGGACAAGGGTCACAAACACTGCCAGAGGGCTGAGCACCTCTCCTATAAAGACAGGCTGAGAGAGTTTGGGCTGTTCAGCCTGGAGAAGAGAAGGCTCTGGGCAGACCTTAGAGCAGCCTTTCAGTACCTAAAGGGAGCTACAGGAAAGCTGGACAGGGAGTTTTTTATCGGGGCATGTAATGTTAGGATAGGGAAGTGGCTTTAAACTGAAAGAAGGCAGGTTTAGGTTAAGTATTAAAAAGAAGTTCTTTTCTACCAGTGTGAAGGTGGTGAGGTACTGGAACAGGTTGCCCAGAGAAGTTGTGGATGCCACATCCCTGGCAGTGTTCGAGTCCAGGTTGGATGGGAATCTGAGCAACCTGGTTTAGTGGAAGGTGTCCCTCCCCGCAACAGAGAAGTGGGCAGCAGGGCAGGGAGTTGGAACCAGATGACCTCCAAGTTCCCTTCCAACACAAACCATTCTGTGATGTTACTATTCTAGTTTATGAATTCAGTCTAAAAATCCTGTATAGCCTATTTTTAACTTATAAAAGAAACTATGATTGTACAAGACTGTATGTTTTAACATTACTAATATGGAAAGTAATGGAAAGCAAATGTGTCAGATGAACATTCTTGATTGCCATCAATCTATACAGCTTATCTTGTATCAAATTGTGCTAAAGGTAAGAGAAGTTAAGACTAATAAAACAAATTCTCTTCTCATTAAGACAAGACAATACATTTTACAAGACTTCAAATGTTGAATCTCAAGTCCTCTATTGAGTTACTAAATGTTTGCTTCCAAACCAAGATACTGGCTTTGTTAGTGCCAACATCATTCTAACACTTGTCATTTGATAGCAAGTTCAGTAATCTGGGAGCCTGTCACCCTCCTCCTTTCTATATATTGTGCTTCCTGCTTAGATCAAGTGGTTGTATGCTAACAGCCACTATAAAAGTAGCAGTTCAAGTACACTTTACCATCCCAGAATGCTGTAACAAAGGATGGTTAGCCTAAAAATCACTGAGGATGAAGTGCAAGGCCATTTGCACTAAGAAGTTGCCAAATGGAACCATATGCAAATTGGCAACTTGGAAAGAAGTACCAGAACTACAACTCTTATCCAGCTTGATATGTTTTCTGAAAGGGGAAAGTACCAATTATAGTCTTCAGCATAAATAACACACTTGAAAAACTACCAATAAAGGAATTTGCCAATTTTAAAGTTAGTTGTTGATTGTACAAAGAATAAGTCAGTGGACTTCCCACTCTTTGCCTCCTTGCTTTCCTCAGGAGTCCATTACCTTTCACAAAGAAAATTTTAGCTATCAAACTTGTCCATAAATTTTGCCGCTGAGTGTGAAACCATCCAGTTAGCATATACACTATCATTTGCATATCTTGAAAACACAGAGTTAGTGCCATCGAATCTTGTGAGTGGAACGGGACTCTCCTCAGGCCAGTTCGGGTATGACATGCCTAAAAATGAAAACAGATAATTTTTTCTGCACTGAAGAACCATAACTTCATGTGCAGACAGTAAGGCCCTTGGCAAAACTCCCTTCAATAATTTAAGCCAGTCCACTGGATTTTGTCCCAAATCAATTCATAGAAATGATGTTTTGAAATCCCTGAAGCAGAAATTCAGATGCAGGCAAAAAACCTGGATAAATTAAAGTGCTTACTCAATAAAAAATTGTGTGCATGCATGCACATGTGCATAATAAAAAGCTAAGAATTGTTCTTCTCATAAGCCTCCATCTTTCCATAATTTTGTATTTTAACAATCATGTAGCAATATATTGCTTTGCAAGAGAAAGTTCTTGCTGTACAGGAAATGCTCCAAGAATTAATAAACCTATTTGGGACAGGATCCAAAGTCCATTTCAATGATAGAATATTTCCATTTACTTAAATGGCTGCTTTTCCTTTGGCTTCAGTGAGGTTCTGGGGACATTTTCACACCCCCACCAGGGATTCCCTGCTTAATTTCAGGAAATCCCAGGAGTGCAACTGAGTAAAGTCCAACAAAGTGCCGAGCACTCCTGTCTTGATTCAGCATTTAAAGTTGTATATCAGGCCTGTAATTATTTGCATTGAGTGCAGTAACTGTTTCTGTGTTCAGGCACAAGTGATAACCAAAATGGATGCAGAGTGCTTAGCACCATGTTGATTCAGCTGTGCAAGCACAGAACCATAGCAGGGTTGAGACTTTCAAAAACAGAAATCTGATTCTGTTGCTTATTAAGCAATTCAGCATCTGCCACCAACCTTGTGGCAACTTCTTTTCTGCTACTTCACTAAGTGCCCCAAAATCAACATGAGTTGAGAAAACCTAATGAAGAAAATAATAGCTAAGGTATAGATCAAAAATAGACCCAAAGCCATGTATTAATGGCAACTTTTAAACTAAAAGATCCAACTTTTCAAAAGTCATACTGCTTGAAGAGTGAAAAAAGTATCTGATGTTAGTAAGTATCTAAAACCATGTAGAATATTTAATCAGAAGACAAAATGTAGGAGTTTTGGCAAGAACCATTTTTACTGTCCATCTCACCATCACAATATGAAAGCATATGTTCTTTTTAAAAACACTTGCTACATCATTGAGTCAAGGTTTAGTACTAACATGTTCATAACAAATCAAAGGACGTGAAAACAGCTGATATTTTCAAAATGCCCATTGTTAATTAAGTTTTCAAAGGATTTTACATGTCAGTTTAGTCTGTATATAATATTTATATACAGTATTTCTACCTTCTGTATATAATAATCTGTTTTCATCCTATGATACATTAAATACATTTCAGCTTATAGATCCAAAATGTACTAATAGCAGCTGAAATTTAGACATCCGTCTGAATAAATGAAAAATGTTGCAGATGAGTCTTATCACTGAGTTACGGCAAAAAACAGTATTAAAAAAAAGTCTATTGCTTAAATTAGAGGTGCAGAATCTAACCTATTTTAAATCTTGTAGTCTCCCCCAACAGGACAGTTGAATTAGATACTCATTAGCATTTTGTATTTCCCCTGAGAATACTTCCCTGATCTTTTTTTTTGCTTTTACTGTATGATATCTAGTCATTTTACTTATTTTCACATCCTTTTAAAACGTTTATTTTAGACACAGCTGCAAAATGACTAAAGGATGATCCTGATGCAAACTTTGACATTTACCAAAAGAAAAAACAAACAAACAAACAAAAAAAAAAAACAAACCCAAAAAAAGCTTCCAAGCAAATTTTGATTGGCTTCATTCAGACAAGAAACACTGTAATGGGGTTACAGAGTCTGAGAACAGTGCAGAAGAAAAATCAACTTTTTTTGTGTGTTGCTAGAATCTAGTAAATGCATGTGAAATTCTACCATAGAGTTTGTTTTCAATCCATGTGGAAGGGAGGGTTCGAGGGAGGGGAGCATTATTACAGTCCACGAGAGGAGTCTCCTCTTCTGAGAGGCCATCATCGTACAGTAAGGAATCAGAGGGCGTGGAAGCTGCAAGGTCTAAGTAGTCCTGAGAAATGAATACACAAAAAGCTGCATTAATGTACGTGGCAGTGTTGCTGTTTGGCTAAAAAGCATAATTGTGCACCTGCTTTCTTTACAACAAGGAACTACAGGCCTATTGCATTCACCTTTCTCTAGAGCCTCTGGCACCTGAGGAGGCTCTGCTTTCCAGCAGCCACAGCAGCCCTGGAAGCTGATTTGCCTGAACACTGCACCTGCTAGAGACATATGAACACTTCCCCTACTTAATTCTGCACATCAGCAAAACACCCAACAAAATGAAAAGCTGTCCTAACTGCTTTGTTTGACCTTCATCTGCTGGTACGCCTGCTCCATATGTATGCCTGAAATATATACATATATATATGGAGATACATATGCATGTTTAAAGGACAAGGTACTCAGATCTCATAATCGTTTTACAAAAGCTATTACATAACAATGCATAAAATAACTACGTAAATATTGCCAAATAAAGCTTTGGTTGCTGTTCTAAAACTAAATATTTAGGTCACCAATAAGAATTCGTTGGGTTTTAGTTGTGTTATTGAATTGCTTTGAAGCAAAAAAAAAGAATGTGAAGCATTTTCAACTAATTTAAGATTTATGAAGTATCACATTCTTCTAGTTCTGGCTCTATAAAGTTATTTATTTAGGAGCAACTTTTCACAATAGTTTTTAAAACATTACTATTATTTAAAGAAAATATGTTAAGAACAATCCATCCATATTTTGAGTTGAGGTCACCAAAGCTATTAGAAGAGGTAATACTGCTTTCAAAAAGCTACATGCATGTGGAAGAAAGCAGATATGTAAATGCTTCAAGATTTGATGAAAAGTAAGTTACACTGCTTTAAAATACAACTAAAAAGTAATTATTTCTGTATATTCAAACTCAAAAGACCACAAAAACTTTCAAAATCCATGCTTTCCACACTTACCCTACTCTTCACCATCATCTTCTCTAGTTCCTTGCTGATCTCAGTAAATGTTGGTCTTTTATCAGCTTCTTGCTTCCAACAGCGCAACATGAGGTTGTACCTGGGACAACCCATCACAGGGTGAAAAAAACCCCAAACTGTTAGAAATGGGCCATGCTTCTGCTCTAATGATTTACAGCACTGAACTTAACTGTGGCATGAAGGCCATCCACAAGTACATCAATCTCTGTTGTGAGTGCTGCTAAATGTTCCCTGGAATTAACAACTGACACTCACAACAATGGGCTTTTATGTTCAAGAGTCTCCATGAGTTTCAATGATGATGCACTTGGCTGTCCTTGAAGGACTAGAGTCTCAGGTTTCACTTTCTCAAATGTAGGGCAGCATGCCAGACTGCTAGTTCACTTTGTACATGACACTGAAGAAATTTGCGTGCCAAACTGAAAAACTCTGCTGTTATACCAAAAAGCAAAATTTTGGTTTTCATTTGTTCAAATTCTTAAGTTTCTGTAAACTTCTCTTTAAAGCAAAGCCTAGCGTAAGACTATTTGCAGTAACTAATGTTCTTTTGATTACTTCTATTATTGTTCTTTTGATTAAACCTATATTTATTCTTTCTTTAACTGCCTTCTATAACATAGAGTGTGGAAAGGAAAGGGAAAAAAATTAAAGTTTTATAGCTGAGTGACTACCAGATAGACATTGGCAAGTTCTGGGAGCCTGATTCTCCAACCTGTGCCACTCACATTGTTTTTCTAGCTCAGCTGTTCTCAGGACTGAGTGATCTGTCCACTTAAGTGCTCTAATGGTGGAAACAGTGGCCTATGAGAACTACAGGAAGCTATTGAAAAACACTGCATTTTATGCCTTCATCCATGATCCCTCTCGTACTTGACTGCATACAAGAGAGAATGCAATTTGAGAAAAATGGTCCTTAAAGTGGGTTTTCACAAGCTGTCAGAAAAATTTCTGAGTATAACAGAAGAAAATCCAAAAAAAGTCAGAAAACCATGATTCAGCTTCACTTAAAAAATCCCAGAAACTCAGATGTGGTCAGCTTGCCTAAACTAATAATTATCAATGACATAACATGTTTGTGGAATGAGTATTCCTCACTGAGATGAAACAAATAAAGAATTAGTATTATACATTTCTTAGATGATATTTGCCAATCGTTCTTGTAAACTGCTACACTGCCCTAAATTTGGAAATACTTAGTGTTTTATTCTGTATGTTAAAAAAAACTATTATTTAAACTATTATTTATTTAAACTTTTTTTTCTCAGCCCAGATGTGGTCAAAGCACCCTTCCAATTGAGAATCAGTCAAAAGAGTGGTCACAATGACTAAAAGCTTGGGAGCTTTCAAAAAACTGCAAGCACGATCAAATTTGCAGGCTGAACATAAAATCATCTCCAAATGCCATGGAAGATCACAGACAACAGATACTTCACATTGACTGTGTTTTAATAAATCAGCTAACAAATTATGAACTGTCTCCAAAGCCATGGGCTTATCAAGTCACAGGAAATTTTTGTCTTCAAGGGTGTAGATCTCTGGGCCAAGGTACCATTTTTCTTCTGGAATGCCACAACTTACAGATAATGACTGTGCGTGGAATATCTGTTTCAGCTGCAGAAAGTACTATGACATTTTCTTGAATATTTCAGCTACCACTGTGTTTTATGGAAGTTTCCCCCTTCCCCCACCCTCAGAAGTTTTGAATGTACAAACTCTAATTGTTTGCAAGCATGTTATTCAATACCCCACAAATGGTTTGGATATAGCTGTAGGCATTCTGTGAGTAATTTTTCTCCCTCACTTTACTGTTCACTAATTTCATGACATTCTTTAAAGCACTACATATTTTGACTATATCTCTATGAAATACAGAATAGTATTTAAGAGGTATTTATTTAAATATTTTTTTCAAGTATATTTACTAATGTTTTCTGAATCTAATCAGATCAAGAGTTACTCACATTTCTTCACTGCAGTTTTCTGGTCTCTCCATTCTATAGCCTGTTTTTAGGAGGTTAAAGAGTCTTTCAGGAGCAATGCCTGGGTAAGGATTGCCTCCTAAAGTAACAATCTCCCACAGCAGAACTCCAAATGACCATCTGAAAAAGACAAAATGAGCTTTTATATAGAGTGGTAGGTTTCACCAGCTTAGTGTAGCATTTACACAACAAATCTCCTCCTAGTATTTTCAGAACCCAACAAAACTCAAGACACGTCACGCCAGAGAGCAGTTGCTCAGATGCAAGCAGGGCCATCTGTGTTCCCAAATACTGTTCATTGAAAAGGTTAGCAACCAAGACAGCAGAGAAAACAGTTACCTCTTTTATCCATTGACAAAAGCTAATTATACCCTGGGAAGATCCATCTTCTCTAGACAGCAGAAAGAGGAAGTCCTTCCTCTGGTGGTCCAGCCCAAAGACTTGCTCCTCTGCTGCACAGGGCTCCTGCAGCAGTCTAACCTCCCTAATTAGCTCTTGTATTCAGAAATAACTCTAAATTCAATTTACAGAGTTACCCCAGGACTGGTTTCCTGTCTTGACTATGAGGCAACACAATGTGTTTATTTAAATCGTAAGTAACACCTTTGATTTCAGCTGGCCTCTTGGGCCATTTCAGTGATTCACGACTTAATTGTCTTCTTAGAGTTGATGAAAGAAGAGGAAAGAATTTCCTCTGGAAATACCAAATGCCTAAAACGAACTTTGACACAGAACAGAAGAAACCATTTTCTGAAATGAACAGAAGTAGTGAATTTTTAAACCTATTTTACTGCTGAGCTCAAACAAAAAGACCTTGCATAATGGGTGAGAAATATTTAGATAAATTAGTCCATTTCTGGAGAGCAAGCCAGAAGAAAAGAGGCAAAAATGTTTTTCTTTTCTTACTGAAAGGCTTTTTGAGACACAAAGAAGCTACAATTCACCCTGAATCTGCTCAACTGACAACTGACAAAATCTGGATGTTTGAAAGGAAGGAGACCAGCCAACACTGGGGCTGCTCAATGGGATGCATCTGGAAGCAAAATTGCATACAATTTATGAAAATGCTAGCTTTGGGCAATTGCTCTGTAAACTCCATTTTAAAGAAAATTTTAAGAAGTTTTAGACACCTACTGCCAAACCAAACAGCCATGTCTAATTCCCTATGAAAATTCCATCTCCAAATGTTAAACAAATACCTCACCTCCTGTCTGACTCCCTTCCACCTGCGCTTCTCACATTTTAAAGAACAAAAGTAACCCCAAAGGTACAGAAATAAAACTTCCCAAATTGTCAGAGAAGTCAAAGTGACTCTCACATGGTCCCAGGTGGTATGCTGCCATTCTTCTGCCTAATGCCATTCACTGAATTAATTTTTAATCACTTTGCACATTCTTGAAAGCTTATGAATATTTATAGCATTTTCATATACTTTATTAATATTTCTCCTCATACCCTTTTTGAAGCCAATTACACTCTGCCATCAGGTTACAATTCTGTCCATGATTAATTCAAATAAACTTTGGAGCATGGCAGATTTTATTTCTAAAATCCACTTCTGCTCAGGAGGAATTTTCCAGAATATGGAAGGAGGGATCAGATGAACAATTTCTTAACTGAAGTTGTTCAGTAAGTGAACATATTAGAATAGAATGCTGTAGAATGCTGCAGTACTTTCAGATTGTTAAGTACTACATTAAGTACTACAGGAGGAGAAATGAGAGATGGAGAATTTCCCACTGTGTAAGGTTTATTACGGAATAAAAACATGATCACAAAAAGCCAGGAAAGAAAAGTATGTGAAGAAGAAGATAGTAGGTTAGCTTTCCACTGATGTCATAGACCTCTGAAGCAAAAATGGAGTTTTTGTAAATGCTGGCAAGTGGTACTGTTATTAAACTCTGCTAACCACTAACTATACAGAACAGCTTGAGAAGGAACAGGGTGGAAAATAGAAACAGAATATCAGAAAAAAGGGAATACTGGAATGGTTGTAGAGTAATATGTTCACCTAAAATATAACTGCATCACCACAAACAACAGAGAATATCCATAAAAATAATATTTTCAGTGAGTGCAATTATGTAAAGCACCAATCAATGCAGCAAAAGGAGTACTTCATTGATCAGTCTGCTGCTCTGAAATGCCATCATGGAACCTGGTGCTGGAGAGGACTTGCTCTGCAGCTCTGGGTGTGTGGTATGTGTCTCGGTTCTGCTCTGCAGGAACCTGGCTAAATTAGGAGCTGCTGTACAGCACTCCTGGATTATTTCATGTACAATGACACAGCAAAGGTGAGCCAGCAGTGAGACAATGGCACAGTGTAAGCACAGCAGACACCTGGAGCCTTTCAGGCACTGCATGGGAGCAGAGGCGCACAGCACAACGCTGTGCTGCCGAGGCACCTCCACGAAAGCTGGGCAACCAGCACAGCTCTGCATGGAGATCCTAAGCCAGCCCTGGGAAGCAGGGAAGCGACACAGCACCAGCCCATTGTGCTGCACAGGGCTCTGATGCCAGCTGGGCAACCTCTGCATGGTGCTGGATCCCACTGACAGGAAACACGCTCCTGGGCTTAATAGCACCCATCGGGAAAACGGAATGGGAGGAATGCTATTGGATCCAGATGATCCATCAGCAATCAAAGAAGAGGCAGTTACATGACAACACAATCTGTTCTGGACCCAAACCACAGTGACAAAACTGAAGAAATTAAAAATATGCTTAGAAGTTTTTAAAGGAATTTTAACGATTCTTTGGGAAAAGTAATTTTAGAGAAGCAAGTCAGCACAACGGGTGCTCTGAGGAGGATTAAAAGAGACCCAGAAAAACCTGAACGCTGACCTAAGTAAAAGTGACATTCTCTCAAGAATTATCCCTACTTTTTCCTTTTCTTACTCCAATGGATACAAAGTAAAGGAAAATACTTTGGAAATTCACTTTGTAAGGAATTTCCAAGGCATGCAAAGTATTTTATTTCACTAAAACTGCTCTGATCTGCAGAGAGAAGAATAAAAAGTGAATGGTAATAATTTTAGAAGTACAAATCTAAAGGTGTATATTTTGACATCCTGCTATTATCAAAGTGTTTTTCCCCTCAAAGTGCAATGCCATCCAAACTGGCATGTTACTTCATTTGAGTGTAACCCAAACATTACTTTGGTCAGATGCTCTCTTTCAAGGCAAACTTAGAAAGTATCAAGATGCTACCTAGCAGAAAATCAGGCCTATGTACTGCTGCTTTTACAATCCTTAAGAGGTTTTTCTCCTAAATAAATAATCTTTAGCTTTAGAATTTGCCTGGTGACTAGTCACAAGCATCATTCGCCCCAGAGAGAAAGAAATGAAAAGCATCTGATCCTGAATTAAAAATGTCTACAAACACTCTTCTGCCTGGCCCATGCTTATCAGGCATAGGGATAATTTAGCTGTGGTTACTTTGTCTCCTCTTCATCACAGGTGGAGATTCCAGCATATCCATCTTCAGGGTCTCTGTTTCCCTAATCATGAAAATAAGCTTGTATCTTGGCACTGAAACTGGACTGAGCTGACTGGAGTTCTGTCATTGATTTCAACAGGAGAGAGCTCAGGCATTAAATTCCCCTTCCTTTCCTCCACTCCATCCCTCACCTGCCACTCAGTGTTACAAACAAGTGATGAACAGAACAGAGAGGTTCAGGTATGACCATTATCTGCAGCAAACTCTACTAACTCGTGTCTATATACAAAGTCAATCATGTCACATGAACAGCTCCAACCCTTGCTGATTTCAACAAGAATTATGTATATAAATACTTCTGATAATATTTTATTCAGATTTAATTCAACAGCAAAAATCTTGGGCATCACTGCCAGTTGATGGTGCCATCCAGACTTCCTTCATATTTCTTTGCAAGAGTAATGGATTTGGCTCCTACACATCTTGCTGTGCTCCCTCCCCAGGTCCGTAAACAAGCACACAAACCAGAAAGCACTCAAGAATTTACACTTACACATCACTTTGTGTTGTGTAGATATGGTCAAACAGTGACTCTATGGCCATCCATTTCACAGGGATCCGACCCTAGGAGGTAAAAAAAGCAGTAATGGTCAGAAAAATAAGTTTCCAAGTGAAAAAACAAGGCATTTCTTTTCAAAATAGTAAAACAGAGTCTTGTCCATACTACAGCACTTGCCAATGCACTTATGATTTGGCATTTCATAAGAAAAACAGTGAGGAGAATAATTGTAAGAGTTTTTTAAAAAACTAGTTCATGTCTTCTCACACACTTAGCAATCCAATTATGTGCAATGAACTAGTGTAGCTTTTTGCAGATGGTCACCAGTCTAATTCAGATAAACTAAACTCTTAACAAAGAGCTTTGAAAACGTGCAGATGCAAAAATGATAAGGAATGACGGTTAAAGAGGAAGAACTATCTCATTTATACCAGGGATGATGCATAAATAGAAGCACCTGAATGTTACAGATACCTTTGGTTTCAGAACTGAACCTGGACAATCATATTTGGTTACAAATTTCTAAGTGGCATCTACAAGTTGCTATTTTTCACTGGCAGAAATTCACTGGGAAAATCTGAATAATCCACCCCAAATATTCATGAAAGTCTAGGTATGCAAAATTTCCAAGATGTTTCATAACCTTCACAGTGTGATTAGCATTCATATGCTTTCTCATTCTCATGCAATCCATATATATCGATGTAAAAAGTATTTCAGCAGGATTTGAAACTTCCTCTTCCTTCTCAAATTCTTCTCTTCCCTGTCTCCTCACCCAAGCAGACAGATGCTTGTTAGGCTCAGAATAATACTACAGTGATGAGTGTCTCAGAAGTAGAGACCAAATATCCACTCTCAGTACATCATGCTCCACCAAACAAAACTGAACTGTCAAACTGCCTTTATGTAAATGCATTACTCTTAAACTATTGAGCAACAAATCAATGTAAAAACACAGCCATCACAAGACAGCTAAATGAAAGTGGCAATGCCCTTTTACATACAATCAGGCCTCCTAGAAGTTTTTTTTTCTTCACAACTCATTTTGACTTACGCAACATTCACACAAACTGGCCCTTAAAAACAGAGAAAGCTAAACTAAAAATTCACAGTATTTATGGAAATCTTCCCATAAAATTTTAACATTTTCACATGCAAAAAATTTCTGTTGGCAGCTCCTTCATATTAAGCCAGAGATGGAACTGAACCACCACTGCTCATTTGACACAGTCAGTGGGAAGCTGTGCTCACGAACATCACAGTCTAGCCCAGGACTGACTTGTGGAAGTTGTGTGGAACTTGATCTAAGTTGTCTATATATTTTTCAGCTCTTTGATATTTTTAGCTGATTTTTAAAATTATAAATAGGAAGAGAGAAAGAAAAAAGATGGGGTTTTTTTTGTTGGTGTTCTCATGCAGTTTGATAAGGAACTGGATAAATAAGGAGTGGAATGAGAGGACTGGATAAATGAGGAGTGGAAGAGGCAATAGTTACTTAAAGATGATACATATTTTACATATATGTAAGTATTTCTATCCCACTGGTTAAGCTCATGATTTTGCTCCACTGTCATTTTTATTTCCTTAAAATAATTATCTTAATAAAAATAGCCACTTTCCTTTTTATCCATGGTCAAGTGCCACAGTATAAATTAATTTCCTTGATCAGGCAATAATTTCCACTACTGCTTTTAACACACACTGTACCTTGCTCCTCTTTACATAGGAATCTTCTTCATACACATCACGTGAGAGGCCAAAATCAGAAATCTTCATTTTGCGTCCTTCTGCCACCAACACGTTCCTGGCTGCTAAATCCCGATGCACCAGCTTTTGGAAGGAAACAACAGGAGTGTTTATGCTTCTGGTGGAGGAACCAGCTGCTTGCTCCACATCTGTCACACGCTGAGATCACCCCTGCCTGCCCTACCTTCATTTCTGCAAGGTACTGCATCCCTCGGGAGATCTGCCACGCAAATGATATCAGGTCTCCCATGGTTAAGGCTCTCTCATCAGGGTTATCCAAGTAACTGGAATTTCTGTTGCCATCACTGCCCACGTAGCTCGGGCCAACTTTTCGACTTTCCCTGAGGAAACTGCGCAAGGAGCCGTATTTGGCATATTCCACAATTAAATACAGTGGGCCTGAAATAAACAAATGCACAGGTCAATAAACAATTCATTTGGGTTTTTTTTCAAACAAGTTTCTTCTAATCAGCACACTGTTTTGAACAGTCAGAGGCTCCAGACACTTCTGCCCTTAACATAAAAAGCACTGAGTCAGCCATGAAATAAAGAGTATTTTTGGCTTAGATCCTCTATGCAAAGAGAATGAGTTTCAGGCTAAATCAAAGCAGAATGCTGGCTCTTGCCTGTAATCCCTCATCTAGATAGTCTGAGATCAAAAAACCAGACAACCTTCATACAAACTGGATCTGTAAAACAGCCTAATTTAGAGAAACTTCAAAATTAAAATAATCTTCTTGAGCTTGTGATACTGATCTCAAATCACCTGCTAATTCCAGCAGTGTGTTTAAGGTGCCTTTTGATAAAACTTAGAAACATTCTGGCATTACAATCCATTAATTTCTCCTCCCCATTACCCACATGAATAATACCTACTCAATAATACCTACCTAATGATAAATACATTTGTTTGCTGTATCTAAGTGCTCCTACCTCATACACTAATGAATTAACTTTATATTCATTAAAAGCCTGTGACTCAAACATTTCACTTCCTTTGGGATGAAAAATACATTGTACTGAAAAGAAAAAAAACTAACCCGCCCCACTGTTTCATTACCTTACTAAGACTCAGAGATGACTCACTCCTGAATTACATTTCTGTCTACAACTAAAAAGTGACATTTGCTACAGAACTGGGTTGGCAAAGAAGGCAGGGCTTTGTCCAAGGTAGCAGAATCCATGCTGTGATTTTAGGCTGCACAACTGCAGATGCAAAGGAAGAGAATGTAGCCGTGCCACTTCATTTAAAATGAGCAATTCCTATGCACAACAAATTTCGCTTCACTGGCAATTTATAATACATGTGTCTGCAGATTTTACCCCTTGAAATATGCTTGTTGATGACTGTGGCTTTTAGAAACCATTTCATAGCCAGAGGGAGACAACAGTTTTGAGACAGTGGAAGAAAACTCGATATCAACCTAACTGTGCAGCTATCTTCATCTACATATGGTTGTAGTTGTCTATTTACATTGTTTTAGGATAAATAATAACAACAATAATGAAAACTCAATTAAACTTGAAATATAACTCGTATTTGATAACCCTGATTATTAACATAATATAAAAATATATATTGATTGGAAGAGAATTTGTAGGAGACTTGTTAATTTAAAATAGCTTCAGAATCAAAATGTGCATTGATGAAAATCCCAGGAAGAATGTTTAGTTACACTGAATTAGTATTTCCCTTTTCTTTCAAGTACTGTCTTTTTTAATATATCCCTCTTTTTTCATCCAACAGCAAATTTAAAGGATGCTCAGCAAATATCAAGCAGTTGCTGAAATCCAGCAACAAACTGCATTTGATTTCCTTTCTGGATGGTTTCCTCTTAGTAACAAGCTTTTAGTATTTACCATCTTGACTGCAGGCTCCATAAAGCTTGATGACATGAGGATGGTTGACTTGTTTCAGAAGGTTGAACTCTGACAGGAGATCTCGCAGCTCACTCTGGGAAGCATTTTCTGCAGAAAGTGACCAAACACAGTTTTGGTTAGGAAAGCACCACTCAAGAGTTCTCTATGTACAGTCTGAAATATGAGATCTGCCATCTCTCCCAGAGTTAGCAAGAGGTTGGAAAACTCTGTACTTCCCCACAGGAGAGAAATTTTCCCATCTCCGGTGTCCTGCAGCCATTCACATCAGAACCAAGTGAATGTGACTGCTGCTGCTCTGGCTTGGTAGCAGCCTGCTCTAGGCATTGCACTGCCCTGATACTAATGACTGCAGAACCAGGAGGTCAGGCAAGAATCAGGAGCAGACTCTGTAATGTCTTAAAGATGCCATGAAATTATTACAGACCTTTTCTGGTGTTCTAAAGCAACTTCTTAGGGTGAATCAGTGCAATAAAAGCTCCAGAAGCATATGAGAGCCAAGCTCTCACGCAGATCAAACAAAAATAGACTCACTCACTTCTGCTCTAAATACCTTTTCCAACAGAGTAAAAATCCACTAATCTACTGGCTTACTCTTGTAGCATGCATCCAGATTTAGAGTTCAGAGGTTAAATGTACAGTACAAACTGATTTTACTGGGGGACATGTATGCAGACTTCACTGATGTCAGTGAGAATCATGTGGCAACATATGGCCCCAGGAAGCTTTCTTAGCCTTTCAAGTGTTTTGCCTTTTTGCAGAATTCTTCAGACTGACAAACTTCCTCTTTGAGGGCACTGGGGCTTGAAGGAGATCCCTAGTCATAAACACACCATAGGTCAGAGACAAACCTTCTTCCTCATCCTTAATCTCTCTGACACACAGAACTGGCCTGGAGAGTTCCTCCAGTGTCATTACTGGGCATTGACAAGGATGTGTTCATCCTGATTTAAGGATAATAAAAACAAGCCTGGCTTCTGCTCTTTGGTACTGTACTGTGTGCTTTTTTCATAAAGGCTGTGATCACCAAAGGATTTATTTGCCCATTCACGTGTGACCAGTTTGCCCTCCGTATAAAAACAGTTATTCTGTTCTACTGTTATGTTTGTATCAGAGCTACATGTTTGTATCTGCCTCATATTATCCTGTTGTCTGAATCTGCACACGGAGTGCAGAATCTTCCACTGCAGGGAGAACAATATCAGCTGGTCTCTCAATACTGGTAAAGACTACAAAAAGTACCTATTTATGAAAACAAAAATCAAGAATGTCAGTTTAATGCGTGTAAGAAAAGTCTTATTTTTGTAGCTCTGGAGCTGTGTGATGTGAACAAACAGAACAGAGCAAAGTTAACCATGTACCATGCCTGTCTGTCTACCAAAAAAAACCTAACTTCAAATGGAGACATTTAGCTCTAAAGCTTTAGGCCACTCATTTTAACAAACTGTAAATAATTTGTATTTATGTGTTGGTTGGTGTTTTCGCCTTTAATTTTATTGTAATGAGGGCATTCATATCAGGCAGGAGATCAAATTTAATTCATATGAGAAAAGGGGTAATAATGGGCTGAAAAAAATTATCAATCTGTTCCTTTAAACCTCCATCCATAGCTCCAAGACTATTTTGGCTCAGCTCATTGCTCCCTGATCCCTCCACAGTACCTAGCACCGAGTTGTCACAACAGGGGGAATCCTGCCCTGGTCTGTTCTTACCCAGACTGTGCCCATCTACCCAGCTCAGGCAGGAGATCTCTTTCATGCAGTAAGAGGCAATAACATACAGGTGAGCCTAGCACTGCCCTTTAAAGATCACTCAGTGTGTAACAGTCCCCAACACTTGGACAAATGACCTGCTCTGCATCTGGTACGGGGAAAGAATGGGAGGTGCTGGCCTGATCCAAAATAACTGCCCTTTGTCCTTCCTGGCAGCATTGCAAAGGCCACTGAAGCTAATGCACTCGTCCTTATGCTTCAATTGTCATGTGTGAACAGTAAAGTTAAGCCAATAATAGCATATAAATATTTGCAGAATGACAAATGCTCTCCACAGCCAAGCTGGAAAATGGAATTTCAGGTGACTATCTGCAATTTAATTTACATTACAGAGGGATTCATTAGAGCCTAAAGTATTACTGTAAATGTCAGATCAATTTATTAAAATAAGATGTTTAACTAAAGGTTTACTCCTTCGCATTGTCAATTTGGTCAATTCTTTCCTTCATCATAGATAGGAAAAACTGCATGTCAAACCATCAGCAAGTAAAAGCAACATTTTTACCACTAAGACTTAGAGTCTAAACTCAGTCACATGTTGATGAAATGTGCTAGAAAAAGCAATGCCACTGAGCACACAAATAAACATGAGATGAACTAGTGCCTACTGTATTGACAATGTAATACAATACAGGTCATTTCTTGAGTATTACAAGTAACAGTTAATTAATCTTCACTTCCAAAAAATCTTAGTTCCTAGACTCCCTCCATGTGACCTGAACCTCTTGCAATGAAAGCATGCACTGCATAATGCATTTACTTCTTAGGTAAAGGGGTGGGATATGCAACATCTTTCCTCTCAAGGAGTAGCAAATGTGCTTTGAATATAACAGAAATGGTAATAAGAAGAATATAATTTTCCTGTAATGATATGCTTTTACTCGTAAGCAGCAGTGAATGGTTCAGTGCAAGGTCTCATATTATCATCTTAACATTATCTAGGCATACTTTGTTCCCCACAGGTTTAAAGTTTCAGGGTAAACTAAAGGCAGCAGGAGACAGCACTGGGTTATTCAAGCCATTTTGACAGAGCTCCTAGTGATTGAAAAGCAGATCAGAAAGTATAAAACTAGACAGAATTCTCAATCAGGAGAGGAAGTTAACAGGTCTGTTCTATCTCTTCATATGATTATCACATGATTTATTTAAAAGGTTTTGTCCAAGAGAACTGGATAGAGGAAAAGAATCAGAAAGCTTTAACAAACCCTTGCAATATTCCCATCAATGCCAAACAGAATTGAATACATTTGCTTTGTTAAGACAGAGGCTCCTTGCACATCATGATGTAGAATTATGTACTTGGATCAATGTGATGCTAACTGCTAAAGTCACAAATCTGCAGATTGTGATTGTTAGAAAGTATTAGAATACTGGAAGAAATAAAGGTTGTGACACTGCTGGGTTTTTAGCTTTCACTGCTGACCTTTTGCTTTCACATAAGCCCCTCTTCAAATTTATTCAGAGGTTACCACAAATAGTTTGCAAGTCATTTCAAGCCCTGATGGGAAGGTACCTTTCAACATTTTCACTGCCACTGTGGTATAGCCAGCCCTTCCCTTAAGTCGGAACGCTGTCGCCTTGACGACCTTTCCGAATTCTCCTTCTCCAAGAGTCTTGCCTAGAACTAGGTTCTTCCGAGGGAATTCCCACTTTGGATCTTCCTGCAGGAGAGAAAAGAAACCCTGTGAGATGAGGCAAGCAAAGGAGCTATTCCCAGGAACAGGTGCACTTCAGTGTACAGTGTTTGGTTGCTCTTTTTATCAGTATCAGTGAGTTCTTATAAAAGCTTCTGGGTATTGAGATATTTTGCAAATGTATTTTCCCTTACCTGAAAAAAACTCCTTCAAAACAGGCTGTACAGGAAGTCTATGGATAATGGATTATATTTACAGGTCTGGGAAATTGGGTACAAATGAAAAATGAAGTGATACAGGATAAACGCTTGCTTTCAGAATAACTATGAACATGTGACTTTCATGGAGAAGTTTTACTCACAGAATAAGGCTTTCCCTTAAGAACTGATCAGAGACAACAATCATCCTCTTAGAAAATTAGTGCTAATATGCTTTAAGGTTGCAAAATTATGACAGATGTACAAACCAGACAAGAAACTAAAGCGAACAGAGTACAAGGTCTGTGAAAACCTCACTACCTAACACTCAAATAGATCTGATGTTGCCATATAAAGCAGCAGCGTTTCTCTACCATGCTGGCTCACGAAAACACCCCATCTCACAGAAATCCTGGGTAGTGTGTAATTCAAAGCAGGAAAAAGTAGAGTAAAGGTATTACAGCATGACTGGGCAAAAGTCCTTAAATGTGGGTAAAACTCCCACATCAACTGACAGCTACAATGTGTATATCAGAAATCAGGAAGAGATCTCAGGAGGGATTTTTTGGTAATTTGTGAAACTTAGTTTTGTTGCAGTAATTTGGCACATCATAGAGAGTACAAACCTGCTGATCATTGGTGCTTTACTGGACAACGTTAAAAGTAAAACCACAGTACTGTAAGATGCTACATCAGTAAAAATCATTGGCTTAAATTAACCTAAAATGCTGCAATGTATTAAAGCATAAAAAAGGAAGAACATACTGGCCTTATACAGCAAACTAAAATGTTTACCCAATTACTCATGAAATATCTTCAGTGGATATGATTTCCAATGAAAGTGAAGGTCATGGGTGTATTGAAGGTAACGGTGTTTCCATGAATGGACTGCATTCCTGTAGCATTGTCTGCATGCATAAACGAGGCTGACACCAAAACAGAGCAAAATGGCATCAGGCTTACTGGTATTTTGAAGGTGTCCACAGACACCTGGTTCTCCATGGAGTCCAGGGAGGGCCGGCGGACGTTGCTGGAGGAGTAGCTGATGGGGTAGGACTGCGCGGGGCGCCGGAACGTCATCTCGGCGGAGGCGATGGGCGGCTTCGGGGAGTTCTTGTGGTACCGGTGGATGCAGTAGAAGGAAACCAGCACGGAGATGACGAAGCACAGCACCACTGCCCCTGTGATCACCGTCTTGCACAAGTCATCACACAGTTGCTCTGTGGACCAAGAAGAGCTCCTTAGTACCATCCTTGTGGCCTCTTACTTCTGCATGATAATTCAGTTTTAAAGATGCAAACTATTTCATGTTATGTTTATTATTAGCCAAAGTAAAAATTATTTAAAATATCCCTTTTCCATTTGAAGCAACCGCACAAAGCTTTTCTGTTTAAACAAAGGAAAAAAAAATAATGCACTCCTCCTCCTGACACCATGGGTGATGGTTATCTCTGACATTTTGAAGCTGAGATTTTTCAGAAATTATCAGGGAGCTGGAATTACTTGAAAGTAATAGAAGTCATTATTCTAATTCTCCTAGCTGCCTCTGCAAATATCAGGTAAGTCTCACTGAAATGCAAATGCTGCTGGAAATCAAAGGATGACCGACTTGTTTGTCAAGTAGTAATGAATAAAAAAATCCTTAGCCAAGGCTATAAGTAACCCATTTTGGAAATTTTCAGGCTCCATAGTGGATGTCAAGGTGCCAGTTCCCCACGAGTTTTTTATTAGCAGTCTTTGACCAAACATATGGCTTATTAACATGGCCACAAGTGTAGACAGCTCTATATGTACACATGATGCATACAGAGAAAAAAATTACTATCAGAACAGCAGATGGACTTACCTTTGATATCATCTTTCTCACAATAACAGTTCTGTCTTGGGAAGCAGTAACAAATCCCATGTCCTGACTTAATTCCAAGATTTCCAATGCCCTTCCCATGGCCACCAATAATGTTTCCACCTAATCAAATACAGACAACAGGCTAAGATTCTTACATGCAGGTAAAGGGAAAAGGCTTAGTTTTCCATGGGTTTACCCCAGTATGAATCTGAAATGTAACCAGGGAGCACAGTGCAGGGATAATGACAAGGACTCCTGAGGGAGATAGAAGACTCTAAATTCTGAAATTTCTGAGATCCAGAAATGGGAGGACCTTGCACTGTTTAAACATTAGTCCTCATTAGCTGTTCTTGAGTTCTGTTCCTGCTTCTGATGCCGATTTCCCCACATCTTGGAAAAGTCAGCATACTGTTCTAGGTATCATTGGTTCCACTGTCACATGGAGATAACAACACTTAACCACCTCTGCAAAATGTCAAAGCACTAAGAGTAAAAGCCTAGTGCAAGTGATAAAAAAATGAACTGCACTATCTAAAAATGCGTTATTTAATATGACTAAAAGAATTGCAGAAACTCATGCTCTTGATTTCAAGTGGTTCTTCATGTAGAGTAACAGCAACTGCATTTCCAAATAATTTTTTTTTCTGTGTATGTTATAAAAATGACTGTTAGCAGTGACATTTTTATCTCTAAACTGCCTTAATCACAAAGAGCATTTTACAGGCAGCTCAGGTGGTTAATTTCGGAAGAGACTCTGCTGAGTCACGGCCCTCTGAGCTGACACTTAAAAGCACTGGTATTCCCAAAAATTCCTCATTATCCTCCCTGCCTCTCTCCAGCCAACTTTCTCCATCATGAAGAGGTGATGAAATAAAGTTTCCATTTGCCACAGAAAATCGTATGCATTTATCTATATCTGCCTATGTTTGAAAACCTGGCAGCAGATGGAAGCAGGGAATGAGCCAGTCCTACCTAACCTGTTCTTGAGCAGTTGCTTACTGACAGTCTCTTCCTAAGAATGCAATTGTGTTTTCCTCTATTTGATAGGCACTGCCACAGCACCAGCTGCTTCAGCTAAGTGCCCTTGAATGTAATATTAAAAGTGTTACTGTGAGAAAGCAATTTTGGGACTCAAGGACATAGCCATCATAATGACAAATGAATTACAGAAATAAGTATTTTCACAACCTAAAGAATATCCTTGATCTTAACACATCTTGGCCTATTTATTGTTTGCCATTTCCAAAGAAATGTCCCCTGCCAGTAAAAGCTGATAAAATGGTGCTCCTGGAGCTCTGAGCTCCCAGAACACACTCATTTTTTTGTCTGCGAGTATACTGCTTTTGGGCATCAGCCCAGGTTCTCAATTGTGTCAAGTCATGTACACAATTATTCAACTTAGGCGTTAAAAGGGCTTGCGTAACATCCTGAAAACTTGTCCTACTCGCCTGCTTATTATCCAGAAAGACAATAATTCTTTGGAGCAAAACATGTGATGTTGCATATGTTGTACATATTTTAGTACTGTAGCCCCTGGCACATATATTTCCACTTTTAAAATGACAAATTATTGCAATTATTACCAATAAAGAATTCTTTTCAGATGATTAAAGAAGTTACTTGCACTTCCTTCAAGCATTTCTCCCACTTAAGGGATTGTTCCTATACACTCTGATGAAATAATTATCTTTCTGATAACACTAACTTACAATACACAATCCATTCTTGTATGTAAAATACTAAGAAGCCTCTTTAGTAATTAACTTTATAGAAGAACATTAAGTTCCAGGCTTTAAGACAATGCTAGTTCTTCTAACACTCCATTTTAAAATCTCAGCTTGAAGTATATGATGTCAGAGTCAGAAGAAACATTCAAGACATATGTGCTTTTATTCCTGAATTAGACTGTCAGATAAAAAAGATCCACTTAAAAATTATCATCTCACAGAAGATGGAAATTGCTCAAGAGAATTACACTGTTTTTTCTACCCTGTATATCTTCAGAGTGAGTTGTGAACTTGCAGGTATTCACAGGTATATGAGTGGAGTGTAGAAATATATGCTCAAGTAAAAAGATCCAACACAAATACATTTCAATTCTTCCTTCATAAATTCTCCTCGTATGAATATCTGCCTGGATCTTCAAATAGGTAAGGCACTGGATCATTCTGATGGCCACCTGTCAAAAAAGGGCAGGTACATTTCCCCAGATGATCTTTCCTAAACACATTTATTTTAAATATAAATTTGTTTCTTCTCACTTACTTACCAGGAGCTCAAATAGGCCTGGCTCCTGTCACACTATACTTGAGCTGGGAAGTGGGGCATTAACGTGCCTAGAACCTACACCTCCTTCAGCAAGTACCTCCACTGCAAATCACCACCTGTGAATGACCAGGCAGCAGAATGGGAATTGCTGAGAACACCTTATCCCTCCATCAGTCAGCTAATGGGTGTCACCTGCCTGGCTCAAAAAAGGTCAAGATTAATCCCCATAACATTAACTCAATTGTATGATTCAAATGCAAGTGTGACAATGCAGAGATGCTGAGCTTGTGAAAGTATCTGCGCTTGGGAAAGTGACATTTGAGAAGCCATCAGAGGTGTAACAGAAAAGCCCATCCTAAAACATTCCCTACTTGTGCAGTCTTGGGGACACACAGCCGGGTCTTTGCCCTCCACCACATCACAGATGCCATCTGGACAAGTCTTGATGCTCGGGGTGCATGTGGAGTAGTTTGTGGTGATCCCTGTTAACAGAGAAACAGCTGCACTAATACCACAAGGAAGGAAAGTTCATTGCATCTTCTCAGCGCACACTAACACTCCAAACCACAAGTTATGGTGCCTTTTAAAATGAACATCTATGACTACAAACACCTGCTAAAGTAACACGCAAGACAGCAAATAAAGGCAAATGGAAGAAACCATTTTTTTGCTATCTTTTCTGATTTTGACAGCCCTCTGGTCACGTCACTTGCAGTTACTGTGAATACTGCTTGAAAAAGAGCTGGCTGACCACTCTGAGACTGAAGGGCAGCTTTCCCATCTGAGGATTTCTCTACACAATTTCACCCACTTGAATCCGAGGGTTATAAGTGGTTGCAGAGAATGTATGACACTTATGCAGTTTGAAGAGATCAAGCGCCAACACAGAATCTTTGTTCTGGAAGAGACAAGTGCTGTCACCCGTCAGATCTGTGCTCCAGACCACAGAAAGAGACACTGCTTTGTGCTCACTGTCTGCTGGGTGCACCTGCTCCAGCCACACTGCTGCAAGGTCAGCTCACTTCCTGCTGGTTTATGTATCATGTTCAGCATCACCAGGGACAAGGTGAAGAATGGCCCTTCCAACTTCACTTTTCCTTTTTAGTGCATACTTCATATGAGTATTATGATTAATTTTTTAGCCCCAGCTTCTGTGTAGTTTACCATACCATGTTTTCCAGCCAGAATAAATCAATTTGTATCTATGGAACTCAAATGCACAATTACAACTAAACAGAAGTTTGACTTCACACAACATAAATGTACCTTTCCCACTCCCCTGTCTCCACTGGCATCTTCCTGTTAGCACTCCCAGGCCACCACACTCTTCACATTCAGCACGGTGCTTACTTATAGCACAAGAGTCAGGGCAGTCCTCTTCTTTTTTTAAAACTGTTGGAAAAAATTCAGGACAAGGGAAATGAACACACAAGCAGGTCAGCTCAAAACAGGAAAACATTTTAGGGATAGAGAGGAAGGAAAGACAGATGAAGAAAGCAGTGAAAGACTGAAAACTGACTGACCCAATTATCAGTAAATTTAGGGAACAATTAAAGAAAAGCCCAGGTGCTCCTTCTCTGTGAAATAAAAGATGAACAGCAAGATCATGAAGGCATGGCTATGTCTGCTTCACAGCACACTGTCATTGCCTAGAACTACAGATATGTGCAAACATACTGATAACAGAAGAATGGAGAGCACAAATACTTACATCTTCATACAGAATGTTTAATTAGGAGAAAATACTTCGTTCTTGGGCTAACACAGTAGTAACCCAAAGAGCACCAGCTGGAATTATGTGTTTTCAGACAATACAAGGTGCTTGTACAAAAAGAAAAGTCCACTGCATGCTTTTGTTTCTTTTTGTTCAACCCATTTGCTCTTGGCATAGGAGTTCTGAACTGATAAAATGTAACAGAGGTGTTAATCAGGTACAATTGTATGATTTTGCATAAAATGAAATATAGTTTGCAGAGAAATGAGTATGTTTCCAGTGAAATCCTCCTCTGTGGGCATTACAGGATACTTTTAACTTCCTTCCCAATAAGGGTGGGTCATCACACTGCCCCTTAAGAACTTGAATTCAGTGTGATTGCTACAAGAATACTAAGAAAACTATTAAAAAATTTTAGAGAGAAGGGAGGAGAAAAATCAGTGAACAAACATACTTAGGTCATATAGTTCTTTCTTCAAATAGATAGATACACACACATACACCTATAGACCCTTTTTCTTCTTCCACAGGAATATGTGAAATACAAAATAAAGGTCACACATAGAGACACATACACTAAAGATTCTTCTTAATCAAAGGTCATCATAAACATTATGAATTGCATATAATATCTCACTTTTCTGTGCATTAGTTCTTCAAACAAATAGCTACTACAGGAAGGCACAAATCAAAAATCAAAATCCAAACTCTGTGATCCATTACCTTGTAGCTCAGACTCGTTTTCATTGTTAATGCCATAATTTTACAGATCAGCCTGCTAATGCATCACCTCATACCAGTAACGCTTGCTAATAAATAAATAAATAAATCAGTTGTCTGACTGGGGTACTTACGAGTCCCTTCCAGGACAACAGTGAGGAGGGTTTTGGTGTGTTTCCTGCTCTGCTTGTCTGTAGCTTGAACAGTGTACTGTATTTCCTTGCATTCAGGCCTGCGCAGCACAGAGGAATCGTTCACATAGAGGCTCCCAAATTTGTCATCTCGGCCTTGTAGTATGTTGACAGGATAGCAGCTCGAGTTGGGGGACAGCAACTTGTAGGTGATGTTTACACCACGGAATTTCATGCAGTTTTCAATGCAGATCTTTCCTACCTAGGCTCAAACACCAACAAAGAAATCACAGACAGGAACAAAACTCTACAGAAAAAATATGTGGTGCTTCTCAAAAATATCTGAAATAAAATGGAACATACTACAACCTTGCCAAATTCAGTGTTTATTTGGGGTTTACAGATTTGTTATTTTCCTACAAATGCAGTATGTAAATCCTTTAAATGTGATTTATTCTCAGTAAAAACAAGATGTAAATCATTGACTGTTGTCTTTAGACTAGCAGTGAAAATGCAAAAAGCCTTGACACATACTCAGTGGTATTTGGTGCCTACTGCTGATGGGCAGCAGTGTTCAGTGAGAACAAGACCCTGAGATTTGGGAAATTCTGAGTTCAATCTTTGCTCTGTCCCAGGCTGGTCGTCGAAAAAAACTTTTGTCACCCTTGAGAAATCAAAGAGCTCAGCATGAACAAAGCTGAGACTCTCTCCAAATAACGTAGAAATTGCTATTACATAATATTTATAATATTACAGTCAAAAAGTTTCTGGCCAGAAGAGCTCTGTGAAGGCCTTAAAAGGAGTAAGAACCTCATTGTTTCTCATTTGTAATTTTAAAGCATTTTAATCTAAAAATGAAAATATGTTGGTTTGCCACATTTGAACTTCTTTGTGCCAGACAACCTAGGCTAGAACACTCCTCAGTCTAAAACACATCATCTAAGAAGCACAGGAATGTAAAGCTCCAGCTCCTGTCCAGCTCCTGTAGGAACTGATCCAAAGCTCACTTTGGTTTTTCCATTTACAAGAGTGGGATTTCAATCAGGCCCAGAGGCATTGGCTTTCTTTGCAGGGAAAACCACAATGTGAAGGGTGGGGTGTTATTGAAAGGAACTTGGTGATGGATTATTTTCAAATGCTGCAGTTAAGAAATGTTTTCAAGAAACACCACTGCTGGTAAAAGCATATCTGTACATCTTGGTTCCAGCATTCTTACTAAAGAATGTTATAAAACAAAGACGTTTTTGTGTACTAAGACCTCTTCCCATGAACCTGGACTACTGAAAGTCAGAGAAGAAGCCTTTGCAGTTCTAGAAGCATACTTTGTTATAGGATAATCCCACTTCATCTAATTTATTGCCATTCACACCACTGATGGGTCATTTGGCACCATTCCTGTTGGGATTTTAGGTGGCAGGATAACACAGAATGACTATGAAAGCCATCAAAAGCAAGGACATTTCTTTCTGGCCATCTCCTCTGTACAACATGCTGGGACTGGCAGGAAGAAGAAGACAAGATTTCCACTGTTCATAAACTGTGTCTAGACACAAGGTCTAGACATGTCCCTTCCAGAAGCACGTCAGCGCAGCTCTGGTGCTGCACTGCAACTGGCAGTGCTCTGCTACTGCTCAGATGGTGCTCCTTTGAGGAGGAGAACACAGCGATGATCCATGGCACTAACCTTTGCACAGACCACATTAAACTGCCCTTTCTGCCTACTCTGTCATAACTGCTCTTTCCAGACACCTTTTTGATCACAGCAATTTCCTTCACTGGGGTTGGAGAAGACCCCATAAATTCAGATGACCCCATAAAATCTGAAGAGCAGATGAGCCAGTTTATTCCTTAGAATAGCACATTAGCCAGTTTTGCTTCCCCCATATAATTAGAGAAGAAGCTATAAAGGCCTCCCTCAAGAAATTTCTATGAGGAAGATAGACTTTCTCTTTTTCCCTGATTCTGCTGAGGAAAGCCCAACCTCCTAACTTTGCTCTGCTCCACAAGTTCTGGAGCCAGCTCAACTCTCAGGTGCAGCAGAGCACAACTCCAGAAGAAAAAGATAAAAGCAGCTACTTCCCCCTTCTCATGAGGGTGAAAAAACAAGTAACCAGGGTAAAAGGTAGTCAGGTGTAACATCAGTTTACAGGGGAGGAACCTACAAATTTGCAATACTCTCAACAGTTAAAGCAGAAAATACCATTATTAGAAATAAGAACAGAAAAATCCATATTTCAAGTTCCAATGTTTAATAAAGTCTGGATAATGATACTGTTCCTCTTCACTGAATTCCAGGAACATTTGGACATATAACCTCTCTAAAAATCTCAGCCAATGTTATTCATCATTTGTCTCAGTAAATGTCAATAGAGCTTAAAATCCTTTGATAAGTTAAATGCCACTGGGCAAGCCTGCACTGTCAGGCCGTGCTTCTGTTATTCAATTCATTTAGCTGCTCAAATAGACAAATGGCATCAGCCCAGCAGTTAATAATTCCTTCACGCTCCTGTGTTTTCCTTAGGGCAAGAGACAGTTCAGCCTTCATATTGATTTGGCCCAGTACTTCCCCTGACTACTCTGGCACATCAAGGCTAATTATGCAGCCAACTTTAATAATGTGAAGTGCTGGGGACTAACCTGCTTACACTGACTTGTGCTCCAAGCTGAACACACTGTAAATTCAAACCCAGTTTCAGAAGTAAGTGGATGACACTTTAACTAACTGAGAACACCACCTCCAGAGCCAGGATGAGTTTTGCACTTCACTGCTCAAGAATCAGAACAAAATCTCTTTGTGAATTTGTGCTTAAGCAACACAAAGAAAAAGATCTCCTCCCGGAGACTTGGAGCTCTTGCCAGGAACAGTTTCCCCTGCTACTACTGCCACCCAATGAAACTGCACAATTAGTGTGAAATGCAATTGTTTTCGAAGATCCTAAAACTCCTTTTCCGATGTTTGACTCTCATGACAATGTTCCACACCAGTAGCTTTAAAATTCAACTGGCTTTTTTTGGTTTTGCACCCTAAAACTTTAAAAATCCACATACTCCCAGATTTTAAAACTGAAGTGTTTGAGCAATCCAGGGTACGCATAGATAACCGTGGTTGTCCAAATTTAATATGGAACTCATTCACTCACAGTAATATTGTATGCATACACCTATATATAAAAACATGCACACAGAAAACAACCCAACCAATTCATTAATCTAAATTCATACACACCTCACAGGTTAAGTGTCCACATTTGTTTCAATTGCAGTCATGCTGTGACACAGATACAAGAGTTCTAGATGCAAGGGTTAGGCTATGAGTATCTTACCTGTGCTATTATTTCTTCTGGGGGAAACCCAGGTTTCACCCTATCCCCAGGCAACAGGCAAGGGTAAAGCTTCCACAGCCTGGTGCTACAAAACCCTCAAACCTAACATCAGAAATAATTTGATCTGCACAAAAGGAACAGACTATCCTCTGAAGTTTCTAACCGACTGCAAATTGAAAAATTTCAGCCACAAGGCATCATGAAGTGTCATAAAGGAGTAGCTTTTGTAGTGAGACCTCTACATGAGCACATGTGTTACCTTTTTCTTATTTAGGATATTCAGTGCAGACTATGGACAAAACGTCCCTTGTCAGAGAACAGCTTGTTCTGTACTCTGAAGAGCTATCAAGCTGCAATGCACTTCATCAGATTAGATATAATAACATGCAATGTATCTAACTTCCCTTTTTATTTCTTTTTTAAAATTAGCCAGAGGCTTAAAGACTCATAAAGCTTAATTCTTCCTTAAAAATTCTTCTAATGAATTGGTTTTCTCTCCAATTGGGATGACCATATTTTAATCTCAGTTCTCCTCTCTTCTACAATACTTACAAGGCATGCTTTCCAGCAGCTCTCCCAAAAGGGTTCATCACTGATGTTTTTAATATTTACTTTCATAATATTAATTGCATTGAACTAGTTCCTTATTAATATACATGTTTCATAGGAATTACATCGTAATTTTCACCCGACTAATGTCAACCTGTTAGAAAGTGTCTCTAGAAAGCATTATTAATGGCAATGGTGGTGATTAAGCTAAAACAAGGGTTAAATTAGGAAACACATGAATTACTAACTAGCCATTACTAAAGAAAAGCCATTAATATACTGAGACTCCAATAGCTGGACAAATTCCTTTTTTGTTGCCCTTGCCACCCATGGCTGCAAGTCCTCCTGCCCACAACGTGTTATTTCTCTCATTAGTTGTTCCATGTGTGGCTCCTCCTCTGTTATTATGTGGTGGGAGAGGCAGTGCCCAGCCCATCTACTACCTCCTACAACCAGCAACAATCACAACGATAACAGATTTTTCAGTGATTCTGCTTAAAACAGTTAAAACCAATGTAACACATCTAGCCCCAGTGATCCAGCTCGTAAGCTCCATCAGAAAGGGGATGTATAATTAACATGGTTCTTACTTGTGCAAAACGTTCAGCATTTCTGTTCACTGTGAACTGGTAAGTTATGTTTGAAAACTGAATGCTGACAGGGAGGATGGAGACATTGAAATGAAGCATCACTGATCTTTCTGGGCCATGAAATTCTGTGTCATTCACCAGAACATCCAGCTGGAATGAACGATGCTCTGTGACTGAAATGCTTTTATTCAGTACCAGCTCTGTAAAGGAAAAGATTCGTCTATTAGCAACCCACATTATCTGCAAATGCATCTTTTAATACTGCAAGCCCAACAAAAATAGATGTACCAAATTTAATTATACATATCCAAGTTTCCTAATAGGAAATAGAAGGCAAGTTACATATGAAATATGTTTTTATGCTCTCTGTCATTCAAGATATTTGGGAGGCCTTCTTCCCTTCTATTTACCAAGCCAAGAATCCTACAATCGAAACCTCTTGCTTATCAGTTTAAACATCATTATCGTCCCATGCACTCCCTATTGCAAAGATGCACAAGCTCCACTTTTTCCGTACATATTTAAAACTCAGTGTTTTCTTTACATGAAATATCTCAGCTTTGTCTCAATACTTACAAAATGCTCAGAAAAATTCAAGAGCTTATTGGTCAACTACTAAAAAGCAACTTCTCCTTTATTTGAAGAAAGAGTCCTTACTGTACTCGTGCCGAGTTCCCCTCACTTGGCTGCCATTTGGGCTGAAGTGGATTTCATCAAAGATGTGCTCTACACGAAATGTTTCACTTATCCAGGGATCGTCAGTAATGATGGTTCCCGTGTATTTCTTTCTGCTGCTTTCAAGGGGATAAATAGGTGTGGTGTCTGCATCATACACAGTCAGCGTGGAAAGAACAGTGCCCTGGTAGGAAACAATAAATGGCACTGCTGAAGGACCTGAAGCTTTCTTCTGATAACTGTTTTGGAGATTGAAATACTGGTCAAACAAGACCTTACAACTTTCAATGAAACCCAGGATAATGTATTCATAAGTGTCTCGTCAAGACTTGTTCTAGTCAGGAGATGGCAGCAAACTCCTAAAATCAGTCTTTTCTCTTCCAGACACAAATACGATCAAAATGTACTTTGAAGGGAAAATTGACTACCAAGAGATCTTGTTGTTAGGAAACAGAAGTTCTCTCACGAAACACACATCATTTATGCCCCCCCCCCACAAAAAGTCTTCTCTATACCATTGACTTAAAAAGGGTCATTGTTCCTCTGAAGAGCTAAAGAGCCCACATCTGTACTTCTCTACTGAAGCAAAGGCTGTGTGTGTGCAGGGGCACCAAAGACACCAGGGATTCAGACTTCTTGACAGATCAGCTTGGCACAGCGAGGGAAAAATGGGAGGACACCATTAAACCAAGATCTTGGAGCTCACCATTAACAGCCTGGAAACTTCACAGGTACAGTGGTTTGTCTGTAGAAGTCAACCACTACTTCTACAGCATCCTAATAAATGCTCAGAACATAGTCCTGATACATTACACAGATTTGTAAGTATGAAACAGGCATGCACATACACTTGCTCTAACAACACAATTTTAATCCCCTGGGGGAAGCAACCCCATAACAAACAGAGCACAGCTCAGTACGGAGAGACCCAGACTGATCACAGACTCAACAAGTGTCCATCCTGACCTTGGAAACTGCTCAAATTTCTTCACGCTCTTTAATCACTAACCCAAACTCCTCTTTCTTTGGGATCTGAGTAAGACATAACTTGGGGCAAAGGAATCCTACAAACAGCATTTTACAATCACAGATCTGCAGAGCATGGTATGGCGATGGGCTTGTTGCCAAGCTCCATTATCCAGGCAGAACATGATGCTTCCCAGGAGTCCTGCCTCCCACTGCTGTGCTCACATTTCAGGGACTAGGTAAAGGAGAACATTACCATCATTACCTCTTTCCTGTTGAACTCCACAACAGCATCTGCAGTATCAGTGCCATTGGGAAGGAAGGGAGGAGAGTCATCTTCATCTAACACATTCACCAGGAAAGGCACCTCAACCTGCATTTCCCTGAGCCCCTCTCTGACGGTGCACTTGGCAATGAGCTCGTATCTCTCCCTCTCCTCCCGGTCCAGGCGCTGCGTCACCCGCACGCTGGTGGTGTTCTCGTTGTACCGAAAGGGAGCTCCTTCAGCTGCAAAACAGCCACAACACACACAGCCACAGTCACCTCCCAGTATAGGGCTCTGATGGCCTTAATACTTTCCTGCAGTTCAGTAAATCCATTTGGACAGCATGACTGCACAATAAAAGACAGATTCAGAAGTGAAACAAGAAGGAACTTGTGTGGTTATATTAGAGTAGGGAGAAAGCATGGAATATATGGGAAGATTCTACAGTTTAGAAGCAGCACAATTTAAAGGTCAGGATATTCTCAGTCTACTTTTAGCAGATATAAAATTCTAAAACTGATCTTTTCTTTAGGGAAGAGGACAGTCCTCCTTCCCATTTCCTCTATATACCTCAAAGGCAAAATCTTCAAGCTCAGTTTAGGTTTGTAAAGAAACTTCATTTATAGAATCAAATCTAGATGATCTACTACAGAAGAGATCTTTTAACAGTGCAGCTGTTTGAACCTACTGCTAGTACGTGAGCAGCTCAGATCTAGTTTTACCTGCAAGCAATTTGTAGGAAATGCTGAGATTCTGACAGAGATGATGAACTGAGGGTAACCGGAGCTGATGAAATGTACCAGGTGGTTTGTTCTCCTTGATTTGAAAGGAGAGATCCATTTCTGTGAAGCAAAGCTGCCTTGCTGTCAGGGAACTGCAAGCTGGTGCAGTGGCATTGATCAAAGAGAGGAGAACCGTGGCACGTGTAGCAGAGTCACATTCCTTCTCTTGGAAAGGGTGGGATGAAAGGAAGACATACAGCATCACCTTGGATAATGGCATCCAATTTCCTACAGCTTCAGGAGGAAGAAATCACCATAAGAAATATTTTACAGAAGACAAGCCAACGTTTCTTTTTCTTATAGTCTACCCTAGTCCATTATTCTATAAATGATCGTTTAATCCTATTATGTGGCAAAGCAGCTCTTCAATATGCCAGATGCTGGTGAGAAGACCTTATACCTTAATAATTCAAATAAGCCTAAAACTATAGGGCTTGGCACCAATTTTGCATTATAGACTCTCAAAACCAGTATCAGCATTCTGTCTGTAAGACACTAACATAAAAACACGTCACTGTCAGTAATCAGCTCTTTGATAGGACTGCTTTTTGAAGAGACTAGAGCAGAGCAGGGTGGAAAACAGGAAAAATAAGGCATGAGACAGCAACAGATACTCAGGACAAATCCATATCAGGACGAACATTTCAGTCACAGCATTCCAACAGTATGGACCAAATTGTCTAAGTTCAGAGAACAGATTGCTTCATCATTTTCAAATATGAAGAGGTGGACAAAAGATAAAATCAAAGTTAAAATCAACCTGTGGCATCTACTAATACATTCTCAAGCCTTGTTTTGATTCCCTTGGCTTGACTACAGACAGCACAGTAGTATCTCTGTCAGAGATCTAACTCACTTGAAAAGAAGTTCTAGGCCACTTTGATCTGTATGAACAAAACAAGGCTCTCAGGTGTTAAGTAGCTATTCCTCCTTTGTTCAGCACAAATATTTGATATACATGAATGCCAAATGATGTATAAATCATTTCATCCATACCAAAAATGGATGAAATATCAAACACTCAGCACTTGAAAAATAAAGCATTAAGTGTCTGAAGTTGAAAATTCCAACATTAAGGTACCTAAGTCTGAAGGTAGTGTTGAGATATAGATCTTACAAACTGAAGACAGTTACTACAGACTCTCTTCAACAGTAAAATTTCTGCAACTGATCACAGTGGTATGCCATTAACTCCTCATCCATTTCCTCCTTTACCATCTAATGATAACTAATTTCCTCATAGATCACAATCACCAAAACCAATTTACTGCTAGAGCACAAAAGAAGAGGAAAAAAACCCTGAGATAATGAATTTTTGTAGTTCAACAGTAAGCTTCTCTAACAAAACCAAATCTCAAGAGAGGGAGAGAGGTACAATTAACCATTTCTTCTAAGAGCTCTTTGGTGTTACATGCAAATATAATTTGTGAACCAAGTCACCAGAATTCAAGGACCTTTTACGTAAGAATCTGAACCACTGTCACAGCATTTGTTTTGGAATCCCTAACACAATGGTCTAACTTTCATCACCAGATAAACAAACTGCAAATTTCAGTGTAAAGCTGTGACCTATACAGCTGTGAAACACAGAAAAAATATTTCCAGTAATGCAACTGTCCCACCCTACTGGAGTTCCCAGTGTGAGCAACCTGTCCCAGGTCAGCATCTGCTTTGGCATACTGCTGTGGATTTCTCTGGGTCTGGTTCCTCATTTCAAAAGGTCAGATGTGTTTTTTTTCAAATTTGATGCTCATCCTCCAATGGAGAGATCTCATTGTCTAATGTATTTTTCTTTAAGAATAGATACCTCAAGAAGAAAAGCTGGCTTTCTCATACTTACACAGCATGTTAAAGTCCTCTCCATCCAGGCTTTTGCTGAGGTAGAGAAGTCCTGTTTCTTCTCTAATTTGGAACAAATTATTTTCTTGTGGTCTTGCTCGAGGAACTATGAGATTCTGGCACAGATGAAAGTGGGCCACTTCCTCACGTGAATCCCTCAAGGCATGGATGCGCAGGAGCGGCGTTCCTGCTGGCTCGTCAATATAGACATTCTCCAAGTACTCCTTCCTGGGAAAGTAGAGACCCAAGGCCACTGCAAAGGAAGGCACACGAGGGAAGAGGCAGGTCCAGTTAAATGATTTTTGCACTGGTGTTTTCTTAATAGATGTGTTTCCAAAGAAACAAAGGTTTCACTCTCTAAGAAGTAAAGAGCCGTTAAAAAAATATGTGGAAAAAGGCAGATCCTCATCTGCTGTAAATAAATACAGTTTTACTTCACTGAAGCCAAGGACATAGCCACCAAAAATATGGCCTACTGTTTATGTTCAATTACAATATTAACTGCTTTTTGAAAGCAAAACTGCTTTGCTGTAGACAAGGCCCAGTTTAAGATGAACACTTAAGGAAGCCCTGCTTGACAAATTCTATTTAAGTTCCTATCTGGTGCTTTCAGTTGTAATTCCCTCACCTCACAGATGATAGTCAAAAAAGGGAAGAAAAACCTTAGATGAAATCACACACTTTAGAAGCCTTTAAATATGTTCTCTGTTGAGAGAAACAAAAAAATTTATCAACAGCTTGCACACTTTTCCTCAGGTTACACAAAACCCCTCTTGTAGAGTCTTTCTGGCTCCCCCCTTTCTAAACAGGCATGATACTTTTGGTACAGAAAATGGTAGTCCTTTAAAAAATACTGAAAGCATTTTAAGTATTTTAAATATGACAGATGGGAAGGCTGAGAAGTGAGGGAGAATGGAAACGCACATTTCTTTTTTAGTACAATGACTGTGACTGACCCAATCATTTCCCACCCTGGCACTGAAGGCATTTACATTTAGGAGGGCTCAACTGCCCCTCGGTGCTGGTTTCTTCAGCTGATCTCACCCCACCAGGTCACCGTGTAATGGCCTGTCTACCTGTTTGCAGTGATTCCTTTCCAATTTCACTTCTTACAAATGTGGTTACAGGGGAACGCTTGATTTGCAAGGAGGGGACAAAGTGATGCTCGCACAGACTGAAATACTGGAACTGTCACTCCTGGACTTCACGTGCACTTACAGTCAGTGCTTGTTCTCCTCCAACTTGAATACTGGAATACTGCAGAATTATGCATCACTTAATCCAATTGATAAGGAGTCAGGCATATAAAAAGCTCACACATCTGCTGAACAAATGTAAACAATAACAACTTCCATATGTTACTAATACGAAGCTCTCTCAGCTTAAATCAAGCCAGATACAACTGGAAATGATGGTAAGCAGAAATAAAATCAGGGATATAAAAACATCTTCAAAATACCATCAGGCTGTAGCACATATTTATTCTGCATTAGTATGGGATCCATACACTGTTCTACTGAATGGAGTGCACCACAAACAAACTGTAAACAAGAGACCTCTAATTTCATTTAGAAATACCACAGAAACCATTGTACCTCGCAATGATTCAGACATCATCTGTATCCCTGGATGCAATTACATCCATCAGGTTTTGAGAGGCCCATTATTTTTTTCTACATATATTTTGCAACATATGAATAAAGTAATATGGTAGGTGAATTTAATCCAAAGGAATTAATTCAAAGAGAACCAAACCAAAGTATTTTTGAGAGTTTTAGAAAAGCATTAATTCTTGACATTCCCCACCCAGAAAAAAATTATTACTTTTGATTCTGGCGCTACCTCTCTTCTTTGTAAGTAAAATTAGTGAATATTTGTATTAAATTACAAATATTCAACACTGAAAATTCACTACTGAAGATTAAAAAAATTACTTTCAACTCACAAATGCATACAAATGAGGCTTACACAACAGCAGCTGTTACTTCCTTATTCCAAGACTGGGGTGAACAGTCCTGTGTGCTCGCATCATGCAGTACAAGAACCAGCACCACTGCAGAGATACGAAATCACCTCCAGCAGAAGGAGCATATACAGAGCATACATAAACAATATCAATGTGTATCATGGGAAGTGGAAAGGGAGAAAAATGGAGAATTTTGAGCTGCAATTATTTGCTTCCTTACCTTAAACAAGTGTGCTAATCTTTATATGCTTTGATCTACAAATGAGGGCTCACACTGCACGCAGGTACAGTCGTGTTCGACCAAGCACATAAGTAATTATGACAGACATGGCCACTTAAATGCCTGAAACCTGGCACACAACTACATCTCAGCAGAGTCAGCATCCCCACTGCTCTGCTTTTGAAAGAAAAGGCTAATATTGATGCTGCAGACTCTGAAGTTCTTTGGCATCAGTTCACAGGAGAAGTCTTCTCCATTGTCAGAAAGAAAGGGAAAAAATGCTGCAATATAAAAAATCTGATTTCTCTGTAAACAACCAAAATGCAAAACAACTCTTTATATTTTGAAGAGAGGAGGATTCCTTAACAAAAAATTTAGCACTTACACACTAATTAGCTGAAAATGTATTTCACAAGTTTCAAAGCCACTTCAAGAAATTAGAAAAAGCTGCTGTAACATAAATAGACACATGCTCTTTTTCCATCCAATTCAAACCTAAAACTGATTAAACTAAATTCTGTCCATTAAAAGTGTTAGTTATTAGTACAAAGCAGACTTCCATATTGAGGACAATACCCAAGGATAGTTTTAAGTGACACCAGTGTGTACGTCAAATTTTCATGTTTTACATAGAAAACAAGTATTTGAAGTAAGAGTCTTTACAACACTGTAAAATAAATAATTATAGATATAAATATATATATTTATATAAAAATTTGATGTAGCGAGATTCACACAGTGTTGTGAAATGTCTGGGATTTTGTAAAGCGTTTTCTGTCACTCTGACTCAGCTCTGAAAGAGATGAGAGAGATGCAGCAGACTGCCCAGGTCACAACTACTCTGTGCATATAAATCTTTGGAGGCTAATTTTAAAGGAGACCTTTGAAGTAGAAATGTAGCACCCACTTCTCAGAGGTGTGCTCATTGCTTTAAGCCCTAGCGAGTTAAAAGCAGATTCAATAAACTTGCCAGCTGGCAAGTGGAGGAAGAGGTTCTAATGCTGGCCACAGTTCCTTGTGTCCTGAAAAAAAAAAAAAAATCCATTTCCAAGGACTTGTGCAAACTTCCTGTGGAAGCCAGATGGAGTTTTTAATGAATCTGCCATTTAAATAAAGAGGAATTGAGATGGTTACATTCAAAACTGATGGTTAAAGTGCTTTTGCTTAGGAATTAAAAGCAGAGAAAAATTTTCAGTTATACGCCTGAAATGCACCACAAGAATGTTGTGCTCTGTAGCATCAGAGAATCATTAAAATATTGTGGCATCTCTGAACATTTTTTTAGACGACACTTCAGCTCTCCATACTACACAGGAAACATGGCAAGCTCTGATGGATGAGCAATATTATGGGATAATAATAGCATATCAGTAACACACAGAAGAGAAAAGTGATCACGTTTAAGCGGATGTAATGCTACTAACTAATAGCTCCTGCAGGAAATAGATACAGTTATGACAGCAGTTTTCTAGTTCAGGGAGAGAAAGCAGGTAAAATGAGAGTAGAGAAATGAGATTATATGTACTTTGAAGCCTTCATGATTGCCTTTTGAAATAAGGCAATTTTTCATGTGGCTTTTTTCCAGTCATGAATGGTTAGGTAAATAATGCCTTTTTTGATACAAATTGATTTTTTTCTGAACACAATTTGCCCTACAAAACTTTATATGTTTATAGTGCTTTTTATGCTTGCCACTATTGTCTTCAGTAGCATTTAGGGAACGGTTCTTGATGAAAACTGTTAAAGTTACTACAGCAACATTATATTCTTAATATCAACCTTGATTACAGAGAATACTGTTTAACATTTTAGCCATCAAATGAAGGAGCAGGAAATTTTTATTAGATGTAGAAGAAGACTTGACTGTAAGGCATTCTCCCAAACAATTTCATCTTTCAAGGTAACCATCTTTCAAGGTACAACTACAGACTTCAAACAAATAGTTTTGAACTAGCAGATGTCTTATTAAGTTCACAGTCAAACTTCAAAGTTTGAATGACCATTGCTTGGTTTAGGTTACACTATGCATTTGAACAATTAGTTTTCTCTTGACTTAAAAATTTCAAATGGCTGAAATACAACATTACTCGCTAAGTTATTTTGGGTTTCATTACTGATGCAATTGAAAACTATCTCAAGCCCGAGTGTCTGTTACCTTCAAACTTCTTGTCACTAGTGCATGTTAGTATACTTTTTTTCCAGTAAATAAAAATCTTTACGGATCTCAAGGTGTCTGCTGGATGAATACGCATTTAAAAACAATAGGAGCAGTTTGGTTTTTTTAAAAGGAAAAAAGGAAAAAAAAAATCAGCAAAATGGAAATGATGGTTGTTTTTCATTCAGCAAGTAGTACACATCTATATAACCGACATCTGACAAAATTTACTCAGAGCTTCTCAGCATTTTGGAGGACAACAAAATAATTTATTTAGAACTGAACAGCCCCGGGCAATCAAAATCTTTAATCCAGAATTGACATGCATCTCCAAGAAGAGGGAGATGCTTTTAATGCAATGATAGCCCTGCCAATGTAACATACAGGATTTAATGATACAACAGATGAACATGGGAGTCTGTTGTTAATAAACCTCCATTTGTGCACAGCATCAGATTTCAACAGGCAATTATCTGTCAAGGTTAGTTTTGTGTTCCTGAAATAATTATCTTTACTTCTGACAAGTAGCCATTATGTTCCATCACTAGTATTAATATACCTAATGTTCGATTCACCAGAGAACAAGGCCCGTAATACACTTTCATATTTTAAATTAAAGGACTTGCCTACTTAATTCCCTTCTAGTCTCTAAGCAATTAGGAAATAAACTTGCCCTCATAAACCAAAAAATCTGTAATTTAGGAAAAACACTGTCACTTGACAGAAAAGCAGTATGGAACAGCAGAGCTAGAAACACCACTTTGGATTCAATGGTCAGCTGGGGGCACTGGGATCTGGAGATGCCTGTGCCTGCCCAGCCAGGCCCCAGGGTGAGCCAGGCTCCCAGACACCACACAGGGCATGCTGCTTCTGACCCAAGTCACAGAACTTCTGGTTTTGTACAAAAAC